CTCATGACTTAATATTCCCAAATCCAGAAAAGATAGAGGATTCCAGACACATCCCCCTGTTTAGTATTTGCTACCAGCCAGTCTAAGCACCCACTTGTTCCATATGCCAATTGCTGAAAATTCCCTCCTTAGCTACTCAGCTCAACTTGTTCCCTGTAAGGGAAACTCAGAGCCTGTAATATTGTCTTACAGAGCTAGACACTTAAATCACTTTGTGAAGCTGGACCTGAATTCTCACAAACTCATCAGGAAAGATCAGCAGTTACTTATCCACTACATGAATCACCTGATGTGCCAGGAGCCAGGATGGTGTGTCACCCTCTAATGAGCAAGATTCAAAGGCATAAAGTTCACATGATTAATTTTCATTAGGGTATTTCATGATTCAGTGAAATCAAAGAAGGTTCTAAAGACTGATCAAGTTTTTCCTTTTCTTAGAAACAAAAAAAAAAAAACCTGTACATTCCTCCATGTTTATCTAGTTATCATAATTATCTTATGATGATTTTCTTTTCTTTTTTTTTTTTTTTTTTATATTTCACTACATATGGATATGTGAGCCTCCTTACTATAACACTTACCTGTTTCTGCTCTTCATTTTCTTTTTTCTTTTATTCTTTCTCTTCAGGCCATCATAAGACAATAGAAGAGAAAAGTTTATCAATGAATATATGACCAGACAAAATCTGTGATTTTACAATTAATTGAATTCAATTCAATATCAGCAGAGGCAAACCTATTTACATCAATCTAGTCCAGATAGATAGAGAAGATGATTAAAAAATTGTCGCTTTTTGAAGGACATATTGAAGGTATCTGAAACAAAATCACTCATGAATGTTCTTGAAGAGTTTGCTTCAAATTTCGTTTCAACTTGTTCTCTCCTCTGGGGGTAAAAGACCCTGTAACACTTCCTGAAAACAGATATATAATGCAGTGATAAATGTGTTAGTACAGCATAGTTTTTCATCAAAAGTACAACAAAGCACTGCAAGTGGCATTTGCCTCCCTTAATTGTAGGTATCTACCATGAAAATGACTCCAACTGACCCGATGTCCTTTGCCTCTTAGTGAATGCACAGTGTGTGCTTTTCCAGAATATGATCACAGCCCTCAACTTTAGACATCTACATTCCAATGGCTCCAGTTACACAACTATTTAGGCTGCCTAGGCTGTTTATCTCCAGAGTCAGCACCTACCTTTCTCTGGAAATCCCAATTCTGTGGCCATGAGAGCTGTACAGCTGCCAACCGTGCCAGTGAAAGGACTGTTATTACCCTTTTTTGGACAATTCTGGGCCATGAAATGATAAAGATGACTGAACTGGAAGACAAAAGGGAATTTCCCAGACAACTGCTAAATCAGACCGCATCAGGAACCAGATTTTTCTTTCACACTGATTCTCTTGTACCACCGAGTTGACAGCAGTGTCTCTCCCAAGGAGGTAGCATTATGGACCTTGAAGTCTTTATCACTTCCTGTTGTCCTGACACACAGCACGTAGTGCTAGTGAAAGGATACAGAAAAGTTAGCTTTCATCAGGATCATCTTTTGTCTGAAGGTGTCTTCCAAAATTGCCATTTCTTCTCCCCAAGCTTATGCTGGAGAGAGAAACCACACACTTTGCTGCTTAGCAGCAGGCAACTTGCAGCAGTATTAAAGTACCAAGCAATATCTTTCCTATAGTAGTAATGGATATTAACCAAACAAATGACAACACAATTTAGGAACAAGTCATTTTTGTGAGAAAGGGGGTATGAATCCTTTATCATAAAATGGGAGAAAATCTTACATCCTTCTCCAAACACAACTTCTTGAATATGTGCTATTTAAACACAGTTGTCTTGTGTAATGATCCTGTAAATTCTAGTAAATGCCACCACATTGAGGGTTAAATTCCAATTATTATTTTTTTTCTGAAGCGAACATATTTAGTAACAATTGTCCTTTTGAGTTTCCTGTGCCCAGTGCATCACTGGAGGTTGACCAATTATTTTTTTTTTTTCTTCCTTTTTTTTTGCCCTTCACATTGTGTTACATAAAATAACAAGTCTGCCAGGAATACTGGGCATGACACATCAGTGACTGTGCTAATGAAAGCCTTGGTGGTTCATTACAAACACAAGAGGTGAATAAACCATTGTTATTGCTATAGGAAAATTTTCAGTATGGATCACAGTTTGCTTGTTCTTTTAATGTGCAGGACAAATCAGGTCCAATCTTCTAATACCGTAAGCTGCAAAGCTCCGCTAGAGAAATGCTGATTATTTGGTTGTTTTGATGGAGGCATTTTATGTCATTTTCATGAGTTTTGTTACCCAGATTTTATCACTGCTGTATGCTTTATGCTCTGTTTCACTATGGCTCAACTACTCAGGCTCACAGCTTGTCTTTGGCACAGACAGAGGTGCTGATTCAACATCAGAGATTTCTTTATAACAGTGAATTTCTTTTAACTGCCAAGTGTTATAGGGCACTGGATGTTAAGCTGATATGAAAATAAAAGGGAGACCTTAAGGTGAAACTAGTGACCTATTTCCCAAGCAGGAAAAAACCTCGAGGTGAACTTTGTCAGGTTTATCATACAGCAACAGTCTGTGAAGTGTCAGCTGGACTTGTCAAATCTATGAGATCACATTGCAGCAGCAAAGTAACTCACGATCTTAATACAGCCTGCAGAAATAAAGCAATAAACCAAAGTAACCATAAGCAGAGTACTTTTATGCCTTACAGAATGTTGTGCCAGAACTTCATAATAAATGGACTACCTAGAGAAGTTTCTTAGTCTTTCCTGCATCTCCAACTACATTTACAATCCTCCTGACAGAAATTTATCTAGACTGTCTTAACGACCTTCCTCAAGGATGGTGGTTCTTATACCCCTTTAGATGATTAGTTCCAATGATTACCCTTAGAAAGGTTTCCTAACATCCAAACTTCCTAAATCTCCCTTGTTGCAATTAAAGCCCAACAACATGCATCTTGGAAAACAAGTTATTCCCTTCCTCTCAAAACTGTGTAAGAATTTTAAAGATTATTAGTCCTATCTTTTCTAGGCTCAACTAATTTTCTTACAAACTTTCTTCTTTTGGTCTTCTTGATTTCTATAAATGTAGTTTTTTATCTGGCATTTGTATGATTATAACACTGTGATTTTTTTTCTCCATAGGATAACCTCCTTTGTACTTCAGGCCAGTTTTAAAATTCACAAGGTTCATCTCAATTTCTAATCTTGCACCTCCAGAGTGCAATAATGTTTGCAACTTTAACGCCTTTTCACTACACGAACACTCAAGATGTCATAAAACAATTCAAAATAACACACCAGAAGATCCTAGCAGAGCCACTATCTCAATAACGTCCTCAATTTTGACAATGAACCCTTGCTAGTTATCTCTCAGGTGTGGTTTTCCAACAGTCATGCAGTTACTGTAGTTTCATAATCCTGGCTGGTTTTGTCCTCCTTTGTATACAGGAACAGAAAACTCAAAGTTTCACCAAGGTCAAGAGATAACATATCTATTACAACTCACCTAAAACAAAAGAAAATCCTTAGCAATAGTGACATTCATCTTATCTGACTTCAGAGAGGTACCTTTATATTAATTGCACTGGTTTCCCTTACAGTCAGTGGAAAGAAACAGGCACTTTTAGCACTTGACTCATTGAATCTGTTTGTACATCCACTTGGATCTATGACACAGAGACACCATTGACCATGTTGACCAGATCTTTACTTCAAAGTAAACTTTGATATGTAAAACTACTATGCTTATTTGTGGCACAAATTATTAGCAAGATCTACAATATTTCTCCAGGAAAAAAGCATAAAGTAAGTCAGCACTTGAGAAGCAGTAAGATCTGTCAACATTGTCTGCTCTGGTTGTAACAAAAACATAAGTTACAACTCGAAACGGATTACAGTCTTGTGGACATGTACTATTACAGACTGAATCAGTTTCCTGGTGTCTGTATTTCAGCAGGAAACACTATATTTAACCACATGATTAACTGGCACACACATGAGTAAATCTACTGAACCTCAGGAACCTCATTCTGCAGATATTTTACAGACTGAAGACCTATATGACCTGGATATACAGGCACATGTAGGCAAAATATCTTACAGGCCATAAGACTTATCGTTTTTCGCACTGTCTCATAATTATTGCACTCAGTAGCTTTTGGGCTTGCACAGCCATGGCAGAAGAGGATACAGCAATTTGTCACATATCTAGCATCCTGCAAATCTTGTGATCTGCATTATAATCAGGAGGATAGATTTAAAGAAAATGAAATTACCTTCACCCTGAAGATCTACACTTCCTCTGCAATACATCAAGGTGACACGAATCACTCTCAGAAAGTGTCTGTCTTCCTCCAATAGCTATAGAGGGAGCTTGGATGATCAGCTTAAAGTCAGTGCTTAACTTCTGAATAGCTTCAGCTCAATGAAATGAATCTCACCCTCAGTGAAAATTTCAGACAGAGAAACTTCATCCAAGCCTCAGTTTTCCATATTCTTATGTTCAATTTATTATGTCTGTATTCTTTACACTCTAGTGAGTGGAGATGGAGTTCACTTTAGTATAGCCAAAATACAGCACTGCATACACTACTCCTTCTCTGTGTTCACTGACACGATATCCTAACACACCTTTGGTGATAAAGCTCTCCTATCAACTGACTTCTCTCTTTTAGTGAAGGTAACACCTTTATTCACATTTCTTCATACTCAGGAACAATAATCATGAGCATTTGTGCACCTCTGAAGGCACAGTTTCAACCTTGGGCCTCTATGGGTACTGTAACATGCTGTAAACATAGCTCAGCCTTTTTCTGAACACTTTACTTTGTCTTCCTTGGGATCACCAACATCTTGCAATGTGGGTCTGTATGTGACCATTTCACTCTTTAAGCACATCTTCCCTTCTCTTTCACTTTTTGCCCTTTTCTTCTTTCTTATTCATTTCTATCAAACAAATCTCTTTCTTTCCAGGTTTGAAAATCCTGTTAATTAGAAGCCAGCACCACACACTGGAGTCGCCCTCCATTGCGGCTTATTTTATCTCTGAGTGAGAACATGAGGACACCAGCAAAGACATCAGCACTGGAGCCAATTAATTAAAAGTGAAATAAATATTGTGAGTAACTTCAACTATCTCCCTACATGATAATGATCGTTGCAAACATCTTGCTATCATTACAACTTGGGATCCCATCTGAATGTAAAAAAATAAAGGAAATAGAAACAGATTGGGAGAGATTAATTATTCCTTTCAGTAACAATTCTAAATAAGTTCACATTAATTATATGAATATTTATAGGGACCACCATTTCCCTCCCTTGCAGAAAAACATCAATGTACAAAACCATGGAGTCTGTCTAGAAAAGTTGCCAAAAAATAGATGAGTTAAGTTGCTGCAGAAGTAGTCAGAAATACACAACTGAAAAAAAGTTTATAAATTATATTAGATCTCATCTTTCCTTCAGAGAAGCAAAGCTGAGGTCTAGAAAGCATTAAAAGTTTTGGCCTTTCCCAAAGTCATCTCCCAGTTTTGTGGTTGCGCAATGTTGTTCTCACCTCACCAATAATGAATGGTCCCTATCATATTCCCTCCTATTTTTTCATCTCTTCCTGATGCTATAAGGAGGTAAGACTGAAGTGTTAAGTGCATGAAGGTTTGTATTCTGTAACAGCATGCTAGCACCTCATTGTTTGACATGGAGTGCATTCACACTGAATCATTAATGCTACCTCAGGACATAAAACAGTGATCCTGGCACAATTGAGCTTACTATAGTGGTTTAAGACATGCCTGTATCTAGTGTCATCCCTGCACTGGTCAGTCCTCATCCCACAGGTAAATTAAGGTCAGGGTCTGTGTCCAGAGGAGACTCAGATGTGCTCACAAAACAGTGACTTAAAATAAACCCTTTGGCTTGGACAGAAATATGCACATCATGTGGTGATGTGTCTCAGCTAACCGAGTAGAAACTTTCCTTTAACAGAAGGTAAAAGAAAACCAGAGAGGAACCCACTACGGCTAACGTGGCATGAAGAGAGCTGGGCCACACCCTTGATTTTTGCATTTATTGCCTTCATTCATTGAAGGCAGGGATAATTATACACCCCACCAGGGTTTGCAGAGCTCTCAGTAATTCCAGACTAAGTATACTCTGCTGTGAAAGTGTGTGTGTGTTTTTATATCATGCAGTTTTCCAAGCCATTTCTTCTGGTGGGACTATCAGAATACCTTTGAATGCTTCAAACACTATCTTTGTATGTTCAGTACACTCATCACTGTTTAGCCAATTACAGCATATAACCACGTAAGCATTGCACTGATCTGTTAAATTCCCAGAAACTGAATTAAAAAACAAAAACAAAACCCAAAAACTTTGCATATGCCACAACATCACTTTAAAGGAAAGAAGAGATTACGAGAAACAAGGATTGTAAGGCAAAACCTAAGTAAAATCAAGTCAGCAGTAGGCATATAAATTTAAAATCTGAATAATTGTTAACAGGGATAGAGGCTTAAATGAGCTACTTTTGAGTGGACGGCTGGAGTTTGTAGGCTTCATCCCTGCTCTGCATTCCCACTTTGCTGTGTGGATTACATGGCAGGAATACTTGTATGTCTTCAGGGAGGGTGGAAAAATGGGAGGAAGGATGATGCTTAATGGCTAAGACTTTCTGAACGAGGAAGAAACAAAAATCAGACAGCTGTCTGGTTCATTTCAAAAGGCAGTCCTTTCCCTCACACATGTCATCTCACTCCAACAAGATTTCTGCCATAAAGTGGGATAGGGTATCCACTAGCTCCAGGACAAGGTAAAAAGGGAGAAGACTGTGTCAACATTTATCTCCCATCTATGTAAGAGATGAACAGTTGACTGCTGGGCAGGAGAGGAGATGTGAATCTCCTACTGAGACCCTTCAGCTGGCCTGAAAGAAAGGGGAGAAGCCCCCCAATCTAGTGTCATCCAGCAGAACTACTCAGGGTTTGACTCTCAGCTTCTAAGAAATTTCCAAGGCAAACATTTATCCCTCTACCCCATAATCTGTTCCAACCTGTGGAAGAAGGAGACATCTGGGATGGAAATACATATAATAACCAGGGATTTCAGAATTTGCGCTGAGAACGATGTGTGTCCTGGAAGGATGCATTTCTGCTCAGGTGGCTCTTTGCAACACAGGCAAGCAACAGAGGCTAAACAGTGTTCCATAAATTAAATCTGCCCCAGTAATGAATTCACTTTCTCATAAGGACTGGATCAATGGTGTGAGGAAACGAAGAATGAGACTGGATGATTTTCTGTGTTCTGAAAGATGACACAAATAATAGGATCTGGCAGGTTTGAGTAAGCCCATAGCTTGGACTAGTAGGTCAACAGCATGAATGTAAATAATAGCTATAGGGCCTTCTTATATCGACTAGTTTGTAATTTTAAGCCTCACAACCTTCTTAAGGCACAGCTGGACTCCTTAAAAGTCAGGGACGGTTGCCACTGCCACAGAGCAGTGGCATTTCTATTAGCAGAGCAGCTGCAGATCTGGATTAGGGCGTGATCCTGTTTTCTTTTGTTCTTCACCACCATAGATCCAGAGAAGTGAAGAGCTAGGAAGGGAAAGCTAATAATCAAGCGAATGATCATTGAAAAGTTTGGCTTAACTGTGTATGATTCATATTAGAATTATGCTAGGATTGAATATGGTGGAAGGAAAAATGTCAGTTTATATGAGAGAACCTCAAGGGAAATAAAAAAGGAAGAGCTGGTCTTTGTTGCTTGCATATGCAGGCAGTTTTAGCTGGTAATGTTGTTGCACAAACTGTCTGAGATTCCAACATTTGCTGAAGTTCAGCAGGTCTTGTTAAATAACTACGCCCAAAAGCAGGAGTGCATTGGCCCTCTGGGAATATCAAGCACACATTCCAGACTACAGTTCTTTTAGTGTCATATAGATCAAAGATCAACCATGGCTTGGGTCTCCATCATTCTGTAACCACGTAGAGATCATCAAATTGTTATAATCATTTTGGCTTTTATGGACAATGAACTGCAATGGTTGAACAGAGGAGTTCCCCCTTGCCCAGCTGGCACACCATGGCAGGGACTGGGACTGACACAGACTGTGATTCAAGTTATTCAAAATAATATTTATATCAAATGAAGCCCTCACTCTTTCTTCCTCTCTCTCTGTGCAATGTAAGGAGCCTGAAATGGGACTGAGATGGGCAGTAAATATACAAATGGAACAAATTCACACCAATTAAATTCACATTCCTCAAAATTATTTCAGATGCTAAGTTTTCCAAAGGATTATCAATTTGCATTTTTTTATATATATATATTTGACGTCTTCTACTGCTTAGAAGCAAGGAATGTCAAAGATATATTGTGGACCCAGAAAGAAGTAAAATAGATGGTTGTCTCTAGAATACTTCCTGCCATCTGGACAACCTGAACATCCAATAAGATGTAAAATTTGGATAGAAATTTCTGATGCCTCATTCTATCCCAAAATATAGTTGAACTCAGATACTTTAAGGTGTTAGCATGCTGGTGTTTATTTTCATTTTCTGTTTTCATCTACCAGAGAGTCACATATGAAGCCTGCTACAAGATTTCTCCAGCCTTCTCAAAGAGATGGGGATGATGGTTCCAGGTAGAACCATTGAGACAGTTTAAGGTTGTGAACCAGGAGTTGTTTTCATCAGATGGCATTGTGCCTTACCTTTCCTTGCAACAAGCTGAAAATATTAAGCTTCATCAGCTTCATAGTGAAAGATATATTTTCTTGCCCTGGACTGTATTTGCAGTTCTCCTCTGAACTCTCTCCATTGTTTAAATGTCTCTTCTGACACATGTACTCCAGAGCTGGATGCATCATTTAACAAATGTTTTAAGTGGTGTAGTTTATAGAGACAATGCCACTTCCTGTCTTCTACTGAATGTTCTCACATACATCCAAAAGTTGCACTGGTCTTTTTTTTTTTTTTTTTCATAGCTCATGTTGGCACAGTTATGGATGCTTCATTTGCCACTTGTCCATTAAATTTCTTCCCTCCCACACATAGTAGTTTTGTCTCCCAGACATTTTACCCTCCCTTTGACTTTATTAAACTACATTTGATTGAACTGCAAATATTTAGTCATTTCTGTCCTATTAGTTACTTACTAACCTACCTTCATTGTGATACCAGAAAACTGAACTCAAAAAGGTATCATATTGTTATGAGGTGGTTCCTAAACCTTAGATAGCATTGAACCAAGATTATCTGTAGCTTTTTCTCTATTAGGTGCTTTCGTGAAACCCTGAGAACTTAAAAGATCTCTGGAAAACTGGATTACATAAAGTCATTGGTTGACATGATAAATCACTTCCAAGAGGGTCTCTCCTGCTGACCACATGATCTTGTTTATGCTTGATGAAAGGTCCTTTATTTCTTAACAGGGGAATTGATAACTGTACTACTGTTGGCTCATTGAGAAACATTCTGTCTAGTCTTTCCATTTTTAAATGTATAATCTTTATTATTTTAGTACAAGGATAATCTGTCTTTCTTACCCAGTTCTGGAAGCCTTTTTAGTTCTGTCTGATGTCTATTGAATTTAAACTAAACAGTTTCACAGTTGTCTCCTTTGTATCTCTGTCTGTAACTTTTCCTGCAAGTTCTTGCAGAATGTTCTTTTCAAATATTTTATATATTGTTTCAAGTTTTGAAGTTGTACTTTAGTTTTTCCAACTCTCAGGTTCATATCTGTATGTTCCATAGTCTCCCTTTATCTCTTAACTCTTTTGCATTCCTGTGCAATCTGCAGCATTATTGGGAAAATCCAGAAAACTCCATATCATCCCTTCATACTCTGCAAGGTGGCCAGCAGCTCATGGACACCTGGACTCTTTGGTGTCTTCAGGATTACCAACACAAAAAGAAACATTTTGACTCACACAGAAATTTCCAATATTCTCTTTATGAATCTTTGTACCAAAAGCTATAGTTACAAATCAGACTTGCAGAACAATCAGCTGGTGAAATTACTTCTCTGTCTGACTGCACTATGCCCACATGGTCTGGAGAGTGGGTGAGGAATGTCTGGGGTTCAAGGCTCACACTCCTGTCCTTCCATGTGCTCAATAATACTCCAAAACTCTCCAGCAATTCCAGTGTTATGGGTTTCACTCATGGTAAGGACAGGAATCAGGGCACTTGAGAGGTGGGAACTCAGGGTCTCACAATGCCGTTGAGGCCCAGCTGTTGATTATCTAAACATTCATTTGCATTGACTTTTCCAAGATAAATGCTCAGAGTGGTTCTAACCATAAAATCTATGAAAGAAATGGAGACTAACACATAACGCAGAGTCCTGAATGCTAAAGACCTTTTATACTTATAGGAACTTTTGTTTGCACAGTGGTGGGTACTGAATTGCCCAGAGATCACATACACTGCCAATTACCTAAAGTCTTGATGTCTTTGGCAGGATTGCATAAATAATGTTTCTCTTAGAATAACATGTTCTTGAACTCTTTCTCCAGTGTATTTTCTGCACATATGTTTCCCATCAGTAGCAGACGGGGAAGTCTTACCCAAGAGCATTTGTATATCCAGTTTACAGAGGTGAAAGGGAGAAAACCAAAAGATTTCTAACACTGTCTTTGATTCTGCTTTGAAAACTTTCTGATGTGCCTCATGCTTCTTTACAGTTGTGTATGTGTTAAAGGACATGAAGCTTGTCCAAGACTTGATGATTTAGTACTGCTTCCCACACTTGTGATCTCTAAGAATTAAATAATTATGTAGGTTAAGAATGAAGGAAAAGATTAAAAACAATTATCATTGCAATATTATTGTAAATCAAACAAAGAACCCCTCTACATCAGTCACTGTGAGGTAATCCCAGTTTAAGTGGACTTGGGGATAGAAAAATGCTAGTGGATTAGCAGGTTTATATCAGGAACACCCTGCATGGAAACTTCATATTGCCCAATGAATTTAGACAGAACAGTCTGAACTCTGGAGGGGTCAGTCAGCAGGCCAGTACATGGTGCAATTCTTCTGCCTAAACGTAAGTATTTGGCACTGTTTTATGCATTGCAGTGACTTGGCTGACCTCTGGCAGCTATACCAGAAATTTGGGATCTCCTTGTGCTGTTCCTCTGTCATATCTGCCAGCCCTATGTGGGTATCTCAGCTACCCAATGGTAAAGAGTTTCCTAGCTTAAATGGCTAACTGATGATGTGTGGGAATTTAAAATCAATGCCCAGGTGTATGAAAGTTGTGTGGGTCCCCTTTATGACAACTGATAAAGACCAACATAGTAAGATGGTGGTGCACCCTGTCCCAGTACAATGTCCAAAAGAGGTGATGCAAACCTTTTTCCTGGAAGTACCAGCTTCTCTCTAGAAGGGAACCTGCTCCTTCATTTTCAGATGGCTAAATGTGAGGTGGATACCAAGCTTTACATCACACTTTGGTGATCATTTGTCCAATACTTTTTGTCTTACTAGGAGAAGATGAAATGTAACTCAGCCATAAGGAATCACTTCAGCCTCACCTAATTCCCTTTTGAAGCCTCTCTAACACACAGGCAGACTTGTGCTAGCACTTTCCACCTTGACAAACATACAGAACCGACACAATCTCATTCCAGGGTTGGAAACATAATTAATGGTGTGTCAGAATGACTCACATCACCACTTACCTCATGTTTCCCCTTCTACAGCTTAACTTTGCATAGTGTTATTTCCCAGCTGCCACCCATGTGCAGGTGGCATACAGACTTGTCCATTTTCAATTCTCATCCTGCTCAGTGTGTTCTCATCTCTTCACCTCCTTTTGAGTAACTAGAGATAAGCTGCACATTTTCATAATTTTCAAGATTTCCATGTTACTGGGAAAGATTGTTGTGTCATTAGCCATCCCACGTTACTCTATATATTATAGGTAATACACTATTGAAAATTATTCTTTCTATCCATTCACAGAAGTGTAGATCTCATTTGGGCTCTTGTCATCTTGTATCTTTTCTCTCAGATCTTAACCTATGCAACCTTACCTTGCTGCTACACACACTAAATTTTCCTCCACTTTTCCTTAGCTGGGAGTTTTTCATGTGTCATCTTTCTACTCTGATCCCTCGCCTCACTCTTTTTCTATGATATGAAACAAACTGCTTGTTTTCAATCTCAGAGATTTTCATGGAAGATATTTATCTTCTTTTCATTCAGCTGATACAAACCTCTATACAGGCAGTGAGGCCAAACATCTTTATTTCTTAGACTTTTTCCCAGGTTATGTTTTACACACCAAAAAATTATTTGTATGTATGTTCAGAACATTTTTGTTGTTCTTTACTTACCTTTTAACAGAATCTCAGAATGGTTGAGGTTGGAAAGGACCTCTGGATATCATCTGGTCCAATCCCCCTGCTTAATAAGGACCATCTAGAGTTGGTTGCTCAGGACCACGTCCAGAGGGCTTTTGAATATGTCTAAGGATGGGTACTCTACAACCTCTTTATTTGAAACAAGCTTTCACTGTGAAGCCTGTAAAGTCCTTGAAAACAGACAGCTTGTGCTGAGTTGTGAGACAGTCATCCAGCGTAGCTGTGTAAGAGAGAAGACATCTTCTAATTTTCACAGCTATAACCTGCTCCATGAGGGGTGATGGTTCAAATCTCTGAAGGATGGTTCAAATTTCTCTGATAGTAACACCAACAATACGCATCTCAATGTTTTATTTGGCTACGTATTTCAAAGGGTCAATAACTGCCAGAAGCCCAGGCAATATGATCTTTCACACTCTCATTTCATGTGATATACACCTCAGATACCACACAAGCTAGGATTTTGGGAAAGACGTAACAGTGCAGTATTGTGATTGAAATAAGTCTCATGGATTCTCTTTTTTTCTTCTAGGAATACATTGTTCTGTTATTGGTAACCCTATAATCTCTCTTTGAAGACCAGCTAAGAAATCATGACATGTTCATATCTTAAAATGAACACCCCAAAAAATCTGCCAAAAAAGGCAAACCTATATTTTGAAAAACATATTACCTTTGTCAAAATGTAAGCACTTGTTAGGAATATCACGATTTTTATCTTTATTTTTTTATTAATGGCAGTTCCTGGTGGCATGCAGATTAAATAATCAGAAATCTCAGTGTTCATGTCTACATGTAAACTAGGTGCCTGTGATCCCCTTATATTTAGCTGAGATCTGGGATTTAATTCAGTTACTTTAATAAAGGCATCAAGAAGGCAAGTTTTTGTGTCAAGTGCATTTGAGATTCCTTCTTCCATCTCATAACCAGTTACTAGTCCATAAATTTGTAGATCCTCTGTAGTGGCCACCATTTCCATGTAGGTTCATCCCAAATGTCACTAGACTCTATCTTTAGGCAACTAAATCAATAAGTAAAACAAATGGAGCCTAGGGCCTTTTGAAGTTTATGTTGTAGAAAAAGCATACATTTGACCAGCTGAATTATTCTCTAGAATCCACTGATGATATTTATTGTACAACCATAGATTACAAAGGGAGATGAGACACAGTTACATGTAGCCATCTAGATATAAACATCTAAATATCAGTGTCTTAATCTCCGAGGTGAAACTCAGCACATATTCCTAGACAACCTGCTTCACAGTACTCTGTCTGCATCCCACTATATTTCTTCAGAAAACACAGTTTCAATTAACAGCTGGAAAAAACAGATGTA